ACATCTCTCTGGCTGTTTTTCTTTTTCTTTTTTCCTTTTAGAGACATGGTGTCCCATTGTGTTGCCCAGGCTAGCCTCAGACTCCTAGGCCCAGTGATCTTATAGCCAGTCTCCTGAATAGCTGGGATTATAGAGATATGCCACCATACCTGGTTTATTTCTATTTTTCTTTGAGGAGTTAGTCCCGTCTTTTGCTATTTACAAAAAATTCAGTGTATGTTTTTTTAAAAGTTGATTTTTAGTACCTTATTAGTAGCCCTTTTCATAGTCATTGAATGACTCCTGTGTGCTGATTCGGAGAACATTAGTAAACAAAACATAGATGTTAAAGTCTAGTTAGGACAGATGGGGAACAAATGGTCAGATGCTCAGCTGTATCATTAAAGTTTTGATCAGGGCTTGGAAACAGTGAAACTAAACTTGAAATGGAGGAAAAGGGAGGATCTGTACCACATCCTTGAAATGAGGAAGGTGAGATGACATGGGGAGGTTAAGGTGGTGAGGAGGGTACTGACTGCAATTCAAATAGTGGGAATTGTAGATGGAAAACTAGATGGAGACTAGATCTTCCATACTACAAGACTGTGCTATCTGGGCCTTTGCTCTTCACCCTCAGGCTATTGGAAAGCTTGGAAGATTTATAGGCTGGAAAGTGGCAAGGTGAATTTGTATTTTACTCAAATGAATCTGTATGTATTGCAGAAAGGGAGAGTGAATGGGGGGGGAGTGGTTCTGAAATCAGGAGGATGATGGTTTGGATCAGATAGCCACTTGGTTGTGGAAGAAAGTAAGGATGTCCGGGAGGAATGGTTTCCCTGAGAAGCCATGGTGATGTTATGGTCAGTTCTTTTTGGTTGGTGGTCTGTGTTGTTGCTTAGTCAAATTACATGGTTTGGTTTTGTACTGAGGTTAACCAGTGAAAATTTTTTTTTGTCATCCTTGTGATAGCCTCCTTTGAAGCTTGTGTCTAGATGTCCTCTCAAAGCTTTGTAATGTCATAGCTGAGGCTTTTCAGAGGTATCTAGGGTGTATGATGCTGGGATTAAGGGTGTGTGATTACTAAATTGGATTGACGTAGTTCTGTATTGGATAATGGGAAAGCCCTCCCTGGGTGTTGCTGGTACCACCCAAAGGGTGGGTAGCCTGGAAAGAATAAAAAGGAAAGGCAGGCTGCTGCTGCAGCTTCCTTGCTACTTTGCTGCTTTGTTGCTTTCCTGGCTTCTGCCCACTGTGAACTGTTTCTCCTCTGTGGTGCCCTGCCATGCCACCCTGCCTTGGAGCCAGCCAACTATGAACTGAAACCTCTACAAACTGTGAGCCAGAATAGATCTTTTCTCCTTTGACTTTGGGTTTTGGGTATTTTGTCTCAGCAACATAAAAAGTAACTGAGTCACCTCCTTTTGAGAAAAAAGGCTTTATAGCTTGTAGTTTTGATCTTTTCAATTCCCATGGTAAGACCAAAGCACTAATTAAACACTTCCATTCTATAGCCTGCCAGCAGTGTTAACATTTATTAACTTAAGGTAGTGTGTTAGCTTTCTGCTTCTGTGGTGAAATAGCTGACACAACCAACCTAAAGGAAAGAAAGATTTTATTTTGGCTTTTGATTTCTGAAGTTTCAGTCCATGGTATTTTGGCCCCAATTGCTTTGGGCCTGAAAGAGGTTGAAAATCATGGTGGAACATTGCTGCTCACTCCGTCGTGAGGCAGCAGGAGCAGAGACAGAAGGGGTTGGAGATTAATCAGCTGATGAGGTTAGTGCCCTCACACTCCCTTCTCTAGGCCTGGTTCTGAACCTCGCTGTACTGGGGATCAATCCCTCAATGCATAAGTCTTTGGGGGACATTTCGTGCTTAAACCATAACATGTAGGTCGTGTATTTTCTCTATGTTTATGATTTGGAAACTTTGATAAATTGTTGTGCTGTAGCACACTATCTTAGTTTCTTTTCTCTCATTGCTGAGAAAAAAAATACCTGACACCCATAGTTAGGGGAGAGAAGGTTTATGTAGCTCACAGTTTGTTCTGGCTTCAGTCAGTAATCAGCTGGCTCCAAGGCAGGGTGGCTCATGGCAGAGGAGCAACAGTTCATGGTGGTGGAAGACAGAAAAAGTAACAGGGTCCTTAGCCTATTTCTGCCCCTTTTATAGTTTATCTAAGCTACTGAGATGAGGGCAGTGCCAAATGAGTGAGCAGATTGATTCAGTAATCACACACCCAGCATCATACACTCTAGAGTCAGCCACCCCTAAAAAAACCCCATCTATTACTACATGAAGCTGTTTCATTTTTCCAGTTGACTCTTGCAGTGGTTTTGTAGAGATGTAGTATTTGCTAAGTATCAAGCTTTGAGCCACCTGAGAATTTTGTAAGCTTGAAAGATGGAGACAACTGAATTTGAGCTTTGCATCCGTTTTTGAATGGTACTGATTCTTCTTTTTCTGTGGCATAGAATGTGTAGTTTTTTAATGTAAATTTTTAAATTTTGAAGAAGTAATATATTCACATCGTTCAGAATTCAAAAGATAGGAAAAGTTAGCAGTTCTGTTAAAAATACTGTGTGGGAACCACATATTGAGTTTTTCTCTCACATGTCTTCCATTAGCTAATTTTAATCTGGCTTCAGTTCATGTCTGTAAACGATGCCTTTACTGTGCATTGACCTTTCTTTGACACACTTTGTGATGATATTTTCCCACATTTCTTTTTGTCTTTCACTAAGATATAATCAATTTTTAAATATTCTACAGGTATTTCACTATAGTCCTGAGGCACAAATGTAATTTTTAATTTATGGCACCTCTGGAGTAACATGCTTCTAGGATGCTCTTTTTAAAAACGGTCTTTTATTTACTTAATTTTAAAATTATGAATTTCCCATATATAATATTCAATAGAAAAAATACTATGCGAATCTTTAGATGTGTGATTCCTAAAATACACATCTAGATGAATAAGGAGTGTTTACTGTTTCAATTGCACATCTCAATACAAAGTTTTAATACAGAGCCATTATTCATGTTACAAAGCCAGAAGTGCAACAGGTCACCAGATAAATTATTTTAAAATGTTCAGAATAGTGCATGTTTTTTACCATCCTTTATTTTATATACCTGTATATATATATATTTAATTTGCTTGGTATGTGCCTAAAGTAATTTTGGAAGGATGCAACAACAACAAAAAAAATCAATAAAAGTGACTGCCTTATTATTAATAGGGTACTCTACCTTTCTGAGGCTTTGAGGCTTCAGGGGCCTACAAACTTGTGCAGTCTTGGGGATTGAATCCAGGGCTTTGCACTGAGATACATCCCCATCCTTTTTTTATTTTGAGACAAAGTCTCACTGTTTTTTTTAAACATTTTTTTGAACCCTGAGTATATTAAAAATTGTGTGTGTGTATATATGTGTGTGTGTGTGTGTGTGTGTGTGTGTGTGTATATATTTTTTTTTTTAAACCCTAAGTCCTTTGCACTGAGCTATATTAGAACCTTTTTTAAATTTTGGAACAGAGTTTTGCTAAGATACTCAGTTGTCCAGGAGGGGCTTGAACTTCTAATCTTCCTCCCTCCACTACCCAGAGTGCTGAGATTAAAGGCACATACCACTGTGTTTGGCTCAAGTTTGTTTTAAAAATACAGTGAACTCTGAAGATACAGCTGTCTTGACATATGAATAATGTGGGTTTATTAGGTTAAAGGAAGATTCATCTCACTCTTGTTATCTATAGCATGTACTGAGGTAAACATCCAGAACTCAGCTATCCTGACTTATAGCCAACCCTCATTTGGAACCAATTGAGTTCATAAGTCAGGGGGCCACTGTAAGTATAATTTGTTTAAAATTATTTTAAAATTAAATTTAATACAAAATTTATAGTTTACAACTAGGATTGGAAGTCCCATTTGACCTAGCTATTCCCCTGCTGGGTATCTTCCCCCAAAAATGAAAAGAATCATGCCACAGTGATAAATGCCCACCCATGTTTATATCTGTACAGTTTGTCATAGCTAAAAGTTGGAAACAGCCCAATTGCCCGTCAACTGGAGAGACTGGATAAAGGTGTGTGTGTGTGTGTGTGCGCGTGTGTGTGTGTCTATATAAAATGGAGTACTACTCAGCCATGAAGAATGAGAAACTGGAGACATTTATAGCTAAGGGGATTCACATTGAGGAGATGCTCTTGAGTGAAATTAATAGGACACACATGTAAATACCATATAGTTTCTCTGGGGTGATAAACTAAAAGTGTAAATAAGGGTCAAAATGTACAATTGATATTGTATAATAGGAAAAGGGCTAAAGATGTTGGGGAAATGGGAGGGGTAGGAGAAAGGTAAGGGAAAAGAAAAAATAAGAGAAAAGGAAAAAAATGGAAACAAAGTCTTTGTAAATAGAGAAGGGTGGAGGAGGTGAAGGGAGGCTAAGGGAATGGGGAAAAAGTAAGAGCCAAGATATGTCATGTAAAGGTAGAAGATCCCAATTATGAATGCAACTGTACTGTATACCTAAAATGTACCAATAAAAATATATTTTAAAAAATTACAGTTTGAAAATATAGCACAATTGCAGTTATTTTCCTAGGAAAATCTCTAGATTAAGGTAGTCCTTTGACTACTGCAAGTTTGGACTAAAAAAGTACAGGAAAAGGCCCCGGGATTTAGTTCAGTGGTTCCGCTGCCTGCCTTGCAAGAGCAAGGACCTGAGTTCCATCCCTGGCACCAAAAACAACAGCAACAACAACAACAAAGTTACAAGCAGAAAAAAAATAGAAAGTTCATTAAAAAAATACAGAGATAATGGCTGCTCTGAGAGTTACAAAATCTTATGTATTATATATTAAGGGAACACCTGACCCCACGGTCTCCACAGGGTTAAAGACTTTTTTCTTCCTATCTCTGTAATAAATGGCAGTGCTTATTTTATTGTAATCTTTTTTTTTTTTTTTTTTTTTTTTTTTTTTTTTTTTTTTTTCCTTTCCTCCTTCCCTTTTTAAAGGCTGGTGGGGTAGCAGGTGCCTCAGTTGACTTGATACTGTTTCCTCTGGATACCATTAAAACCAGGCTGCAGAGTCCCCAAGGATTTAAACGGGCTGGTGGTTTTCGTGGCATATATGCTGGTGTGCCTTCTACTGCTATTGGATCCTTTCCTAATGGTAAATACTATATTGATATTTTCACTGCTCTAAAGTTAGATAATGGAATTTATTTTCAGAGTGGTATATATGTATTAGAGTTTATCTTCTGAATTTATTTTCTATTCTTTAGTCCATTATTTTTTAGTAAGTAGAGTCCATTCCAGTATGCTTTAATACAAATGAGTAATCTTGGGCCGGGGATTTAGCTCAGTGGTTCCGCCGCCTGCCTTGCAAGCCCAACGACCCGAGCCAAAAACAAAAAAGAGTAATCTTTAAACAGGGGGTTTTGTTGTTAAGGTTCCAAATAAAATCCTTAAGATTTTATTTTAACATCAATTTGATTAGAACTGTGGTTCTGAATCTTATCTGCATATTTGAATCTATTGGGGAACTTTAAAAAATAAGAATGCCTGTAGCTCTCCCCCAGAAATTTAATTGATCTAAGCATTGCCTAATTAATTACCAGTTTGGATAGCTTCCCAGGTGATTCCAATGTGAAGTCAAGTTGGATAACCACCTCGGTGGAGATACCCGTGAACAGACAGGAGAGTGTAGCAGGCATTCGATTATTCACTCTTAAATTGCTCTTGGATGAGCAAGTGTTGCTCACTGACATTCTCCTGAATACCCTCCTTCTAGTGTCTGTTTTTTTTTGTTTGTTTGTTTGTTTTTTGGTACTGGGGATTGAACTCAGGTCCATGTGCTTGCAAGGCAGGCAGCGGAACCACTGAGCTAAATCTCCAGCCCCTGTTTTGGTTTTAAAGTCACTTGGCTCAAGGCCTTCTTGCTCTGTAATCAGTATGATCTATTTTATTTAATCCACTTCTTGATTCGTTTTTCAGATACTTATGTCATTCTGATTGTGTATGCATGGTATGCTCTGTGAGTGCCCGTATGTGTGGGAACCCTGGGGATGGGGCCCACGGCCTCCGGCACCGAGCAAGCTGCGGCATATGCCCAGATCATGATGAGCGTGTCTTGCGACATACCCAAGTAAACTAGGTCAACAAGCAGAAATGACAGCGCAATCCAAATCATGGCTCTAGGAGATATTTTTCTTCTTATGGTAACCTGACATTTATACCTGCCCAGTCTTTGAGCATAGCTTTTACTTAAGATCTGGAAAGAGAATATGTGTTTCCACCCTTTTATCTCTTCTTTTTCCCCTTCCCCCAGCAGTCTGTAGAACCGCAGACTATTTTGGGGTTATCCTTGAACTTTTGCATGTCTTCGTTAAAGTCTTGCATGACTTTAACAAGTCCTTATTAACCACCCACTCTGTCGAGCAAGGTTTTAGTGTGGGAGAGGGCGTGGGTTTTGGTCTGCATTGGAATGACCTGATCACTAACAAGTTCAACTGCAGATGCCTGTGACCAACCTTTGCCATTGGCAGTTTTAAAAAATTCAAAAGTGATTCCAGTGTGCAACCAAGGTGAAGAACCTTTGAGCTAAGGGATTACCCAAGCAACTATCACTAAATCTCTTTTGGTGACCCATTTTGTTAAGGCTTTTTCCTTCAATAGACTCGTTTTTCTTCAAATATTTTTCTTTTGCGTATTGCACATTAGGATTATCAGTAAGTGTAATATTAGCTGTAGTATGTAGGATATGCGATGCTACCATTTAAATCACAGGACTATTTTACATGCTTCCCCAGGAATTTAGGTATAGAATGTGGTTTTGAGGGTGTGTGTGTGTGTGTGTGTGTGTGTGTGTGTTTAGGTGATACTCTTCTTGCTTTACTTTCCTTTTTGAACACCCACTGAACTTTGGTGAGTGGAGGCTGCAGGGGAAGAATTCAAACCCTAGGGATTCAGAAAGGACTTCATTTGTCTTTCTTACAAATTTTGAATGAATTGAACTTTTCTTGGAGGTGATGGCGGTGGAGGATGCTGCTTCTCCTCCTTTCTTTGATGATACTGGGCATTTAATCCAGGGAGCCCTGTAATGCTGAGCTACATCTCCAACCCTTGTTAAAAATTTTTTGAGATGGGGTCTCATTAAAATTGCCAAGCCAAGACCTGGACTTGGCTTTCTGCCTCAGCTTCCCTCTGTGCTGAGATTACAGGTGTGTGCCCAGTTCATTTTGAATCCTTTTCGTTTCCCCTTTGGCTGGTGGTTAAGATTCTAATCTCAGTATAGAACACTGTGATCACAATGGCTCTAGACCTTTTTGAGAATGGATTCTACAGAGGTAAGGGGTTGGGATGAATAGGACTGAAGTCAAAAGGGGAGAAGGAGAGAGAGCCTTATACTCTTAAAAAGAGAATGGAGAGAAACCATGTTTTTTTTTGTTTTATTTTGAACTAGAAGAGTGTATGTATCATCCACCCTTCTTTGCTTTAATTTGTTCAGAGCTTCACTGGAAACCTGCAGCACTGTCATTTTTAATTAGTGGAGCCTTTTTGGACACCTTCTGTTGGGGCAGAAGAGGTGTTGGAATTTACATCCCTAAGGACACAAAATTACATAGTCTGAAAATTATATAAGATTAAAGTAGTTGGCCTGGAAACCCAGGGACTTTTGACACCTTCTCCCTTTCCTCTGGGTGTGGAGGAGGTGAGTGTGGGGTGCATGTACCTGCAGAGCATACAGCCAAGTGCTGTTAGAGATGTTGCAGCTGTATATTTAACGAGTGGACCCAAGTGGGAAAAGCTGTAGGAAGAACCATACACAGGACTAAACCATGTTTGCTGCGTAAGCTGCTGAGTTGGTAGTTACTCATCTATAGATAACATACCTCCTTGTTTGGCATATTCGTTAGCAGCGTGAGGATTCTTTATAAACTTTTTGACTGAGCTAATTTTCACTATCAGGCTATTTTCTTGAGTGTTTCAGCCATGACTGTGATATGTTCTAATATCCTTCAAAAGATAAATTTGTTATTTCTGTATCTTTCATGCCTGATCTTTTATTAACAATTCATAGCAAATTTTAAGGCCCTCGTGCAGTTATGATTAGTTCATGGTGATAGTGGTAGCTTTTTAAAAATTTCGTTTTAATTTACTAGTTTATTGTTTTCTTGTGAAGGTGAATTGATGTAATAAAAATAGCCATGGTTATTTTGATTAACCAACAATCAAACACAGCATAGACATTTTACTTAAGGTATATGCGCATGCACACACACACACACACACACACACATAAATACAGGTTTTAACCTATATATAAATCAGTGTAGATGATTGTTTTAGACCATGCATAATGATAGTTTGAATCACAGAAACCTATATCCTGTTTTAAAAAGTTGACTAGCTGGGCATAGTGGTGCATACCTGTGATCCCAGAACTTGTGAGGGCAGGACAAGAGGATCTCTGTGAGTTTGAGGGAAGCCTGGGCTACAGTGTGAGTTCAAGATCAGCCTGAACTATGTAGCAAGACCCTATCTCAAAAAAACAAAACAAAATGAAACAACGTTAAGTAACTTGTCAGCATAGGTTAGCTGATAAACTCTTTCAGGGAGGGATCATGTTTCTTCATTTTTTAAGTCCAGGCTTGAGCATATAATATGGGTTCTGTAAATTCTGAAAAAGAGTGTGAGGCTGGAAAAAAAAGTATGCATTTATTATTTATCTGTTAACCTATAATTTAATAAGTACTGTCAGCTTTTTGAGAAATAGTTTTATATATTAACTTTGTAAAAGATTGGCTTGCATTAAATTCCAGCTGCTGCATTTTTCCTCACCTATGAATATGTGAAATGGTTTTTGCACGGTGATTCATCTTCATGTTGGCTGCCTGTGAAGCATATGTTGGCTGCCTCTGCTGGAGAAGTGGTAAGTAACAAGTTATGTCTGTGAAATACTTCAGAAATGCAAATAGTGCTTACATTTTTGGTACAAATATTTGTTGTTTAAATTTAAATTCATTTTAAGTGATACATAAGAAAATAGAAATTGTACAGATTTATGGGTTCCATAAAATGTTTTGATACATGTATACATGGTATAATGTTTAAATCAGGGTAGGCATATTTAGCACCTCAGTATTTATTATTTCTTTTTTTTAATTAAATATTGCAAACATACATGATAACAAGAAATGAAGATACTAAATAAAAATTTCAAATATACATATATATTACAGCAAAAAAGATATGAAATAAAAATTTATGTAACACAGACTAATAATTGAAATACATTATTAGTTTGATATGATCTTCAAACAGTTTTCTCATTTTCTTATAATATTTTTGAAATAATGTAATTACAAATAAAACAAAGTTACATATTATAGTTGAGAAACTGTCCTCAAAATTTTATGATTTATAAACTCCTTGGTTTTATTAATTGATAAATATCATATGCTTGTTGATTGTACCACTTACATTTTCTAACAGACTTTCCACAGAAGAAAAACATACTTATATTTGAAATCTAAAAGCAACTAAAAAAAAAAAATTCACATATTTATGATCAGATTTTTCTGTTTCTATTTTATTATATCCCATACTTATTTTTATTATATTTTTATAAGCATAATGATTGAATTTAACACCAATACATATGTAATATTCTTCCCAAATGAATGACTATGAATTGTCAAGCATGTAATTTAAAGAAATCATAAGGTTGCCAGAGAAACTATCAACACGCCAAATGTGCACAGTCCTACCACATTCATGACCATGTTTCTCATTTAATAGTGCACACATAGGTGTAAAAACATACCCCCCGCACATATACACAATGCATATTTTCTGCAATACGATATATACTTTGGTGTAATAAAACAGTGCAGTGATGTGTGGAATGTTGGTGATTTGCGTTGATTTGAGAAAAAACAAATACCATCTTTGAGGGAGTTGGCGAATTTATAATATGTACCAGATACTAAATGATATTAATGATTTATTTCAGTATAGTTATAATAAAGTTTACTTAAAAATTAATATTCCTCATCAGTAGAAAATAGGTATAAAGATATATTGATAATATAACATTTGTCTTAACACATTTTCAACCAAACAAGCTATAGTGACAGAAAAGGAAGTTTGTAGAAAGCAGAGATGAAGAGGAAAATGACAGATGGACCTTAATATTTTTCATACTACTCATATATACAGATTTCATAAATTCTCAAATAAAAAAGCAAAGAAAATGAGAACCAAAATAACTCATCAATTTGGTAGACCAACATATAAAGACAGGGATTAATGTGTTGATAAATTTTAAAAATATGAAATGTAAAGCCTGAGATTTAGCTCGGTAGTGCTGCACCTGCGTAGCCAGAACAATGTGCTGAGTTTAATCCCCAGCATCAGAGGAAGAAAAAGAAAAAAGAAAAGAAGAAGAAAAGAGGAAAAAAGCTTATGCACTTTCTGACATACTCAATAAATTAAAAATAAATTATTTGTTATCTCTTCCTCCTGAATTGCTCCTTCACAAGGATGTAGTGAACTTCTTTGTCTCTTTCAATCAGTTTAGGTTTGAAACTTACTTTGTCTGTGAATAAGATTTCTACCTCTGCTTTTTTTGGGGAGGGCTCCTGTTACATGAAGAAGTTTTCTGTCCTTTCACTTTCAGTCTATGGGCTTCTTTTTGCACTAGACATGTCTTGTATACAACATATTATTGGAATTTGCTTCTTACTCCATTCTGCCAATCTATTTCTCTTGATTGGTGAATTGAGGCCATTGATATTGATGGTTATAACTGATATGTACTAACTTACTATTGTCATGTTTTTTCCGCCTTCTCCTTTTAGTTGCTTGGCTTGCCTATTTGATTTGCTCTGTTGGGCCTCCTTGTGTTGTTACTTTCATTGTCTTTTTCTAGGATATTGTTTAGAATTCTTTGTAGTGCTGGTTTGGTATTCATAAAGCTTCTCAGGTGTTCTTTATCATGGAAATATCTTATTTCCCCATCCATTTTGAAAGTAAGTTTTGCAGGATACATCAGTCTAGGTTGGAGATTGTTTTCTTTTAGTACTTGAAATGTCTCTTTCCAGGCTCTCCTTAACCTAAGGGTTTGTATTGAAAAGTCTGCTGTGATTCTGATGGGATTTCCTTTGCATGTGATTTGTTTCTTGTCTCTTACTGCTTGTAGTATTTTGTTCTTCTGTTGGGTTTCTGGGATCTTGATTATTGTATGTCTAGGTGTAGATTTTTTTTTGATCAAGGCTAGTTGGAGTCCTATATGCCTTACTTATCTGTATGTCAAATTCTTCCCCTCTGTTTGGGAAGTTTTCTATAATTCTGTGAACAGCTTTTTTCAGTCATTTGCATTTTCTCCTACTACTACTTGAATTCCTATCAATCTTATTGTTATTCTTTCTAGCGTCTAAGAGTGTTTGTATCAATTTCTCATGATCCCCTACTGTTTTTAAGAGACCTCTCTTTTCATGGTCACTGACTGCAATTTTATCTTCTGTATCTGAGATTCTATCTTTGGACTCTTTTATTCTTCTGTGACCACTCTCAATGGAGTTTTTAATCTTCCTGGGTATCTGTTTGAATTTGTCCTATGGAGTCCGTTTCTTTCTTGTATTGGGCATTTATTGTTTCCAATTCTTTCTTATGCTGGACATTCATTGCTTCTATCATGGTCCTGAGCTCATCTATTTTCCTCTCAGTTTCTGTTCTAGAGTCACGAATTATAACTCATTTTGCTCATCATCTCTATGATTATCTGGGAAATTACTTCTGTTTTATATTTCTCTGTGGGAAACATGGTTTGTGGGAGCCAGTCATGGCCCACTGGCATTTGACATTTGAAAGATAACTTATTTCTTTATAATCAAGGCATTGACACAATGTGTGATCAGGATGTTCCTAATTAGCATGTGTTAACACTTGTTCCTTTTTAAGGACTGCATGTGTTAAACTTGTTTTTGACCCTGCATGGGAGAAACTTGGATAGCCAAAGATCTGATGTTATCTGTAGGAGTCAGGTGCTTCCTGTTGATGTGCCTTTAAAAGGCTGATGCTTGCCTGCAATAAACGTTGCCTTGATCAGACTCTTGTCTTGGCGTCCTTCCTTTCTCTCTGCCCCATCTCCACCCCGCTGCTCTTTCAGATTTGAGACACTGCTGGACAGTGCTCTGCATTGCCGGCTCGCGACATTTCTCTAGAGCCTGATTGATCAGTTTTGTTACTTCCTGTGCTTTGAGTTCAGGGTGTCCTGATGATTCACTATCAGACTTTTCATCTTCATCTGCCCCACTGTTTGCCATTGGTGATTTGGAAGTCTGTCCCTGTATCTTGCTTAAGCGTTTTCTCATTTTTACTATTGTTGTTTGGTTGTCCTTAGTTTAACCTTTAGGTTATTACTTAAATCTACCTGATATAGTTGGGCTGTAGTATGGGTCTCTAATGACTCATAGACATTCTCATTTTCGTAATACCGAAGAAAACAGCTCATTGAATCAATCACAATACTTTTTCCTAATTGATACAATCAGCACCACAATATAATGAAGCACAATTTGCAAATTGACCACCTATGGTAGTCATCAGTAGCAGCTTCAAACCATGTGAATTAAATTAAAATCAAGAAGCAATCCAAAATATGCTTACAGTGAATAAACTTTTCAATAAGGATATTTACCATTTACAATGGGGGCTTAAGACAGAGTTACAACAAGAGGAGTAGATAAGTAAAAGAATTAGAGAAAGTTTCATATGAAGCCAAAAGATGTAGAATGATCAGACACTTGTCAGGAAACTGTTAAGTTCAAAAAGAACAAACAAAATAGAAGTATAATAACCCTTTAGTGAGGTAGAATGACATAAGGAAAGAACATAAAGAAAAGAGAAAAAAATAAAAGAAGAAATCTGAGTTAGGACAAGAGCAGAAACGGAGATGAGGGATACTATAGTAGAGTAAGAGACTGAGTTGGAGAAAGAAAACAGAAAAAGAAAAAAAATGAATTTGCAGAGTGGAATGAAAAAAAGAAACAAAAATGAGTTTGAAGGGCCTCTTTCAGACTATATCACTGCTGTCATAATATACAATATGTGCTGCCATGTGCAGAGCCAAGTCCCCTGATCTCTGCTAGCTGGTGGCAGAACCCCACGACACAGACTGAGCTTGAGCTGCAAGGCCTAGACTGAGTTTCCCGACCTCCTGAAGGGTTGAACTCCACTCAGTTCTACTATAAGTTTCCCCCACCACTTCTTTAAGATGTTCGAAGTTGAAGGTGCCAGAAAATACTCTTTATGACCACCTCTGCCTCTACAGAGTAGGTAAAAAAACTGGCACAATCAGGAGGTCTAAAGGCATGAGGGGGAAGGTTGGGGGCAGTTCGGGGGTGCCTGCGCGGCTACTTTACTGGCGCTGAAGATGGCGGCAGTGGCACCAGCAGGGGAGGGCCGGGCCGAGCAGGTCCTCTGGCGCTGAAGATGGCAGAATGCAGCCGGCAGGGGAGGGCATGGCCGAGAAGCTATTTATTATTTCTTTATGGTGAAATTTCATTTAAAAATTTGTTTTTAAATCATGAAACTTCAAAAATTGGAACTGTATTAAACATTACAAGTTATAAAAGCTAAAATCTTAACGATGAAAGAAAAATCTGGCTGTGTACTCTTGACAAGAAACAGTTCTAAGGCATAATTACATAGAATGAACGAGATGAGAAAAAAAATCCTTGTAAATTGTGTTGGGCTTTGTTTATGTCAACACAACTGCATTGGAGTGATTTGTCCCGGAGTTCCCTCTACTGAATAGATTAATGTTAAGTCAGCCACAGATTTACAGAAGATTCATAAGGTGGAAGGGGAACAGTGGCTGCATTTGTGCTCTGAAGGCAGGGTTGGACACTGTTGCAGCTCCTGCCC